ACCAAAGGGAAAAACCACGAGAAAGAAGAAATAAAACAAAACAGAAGGAAAAAAAGAGCAAATAGTATGCTTTGATCTGCATTCAGACTCCATAGTTCTTTCTCTGGATGTGGATAGCATTTTCCATCATGAGTGTTCTGGAATTGTCTTAGATCATTGCGTTACTGAGAGGAGCTAAGTCTATCAAAGTTGGTCATCTCACAATGTTGCTGTTGCTGTGTATAATGTTCTCCTAGTTGTGCTCTCTTCACTCAGCATCAGTTCATGCAAGTCTTTTCAAGTTTTTCTGAAGTCTGCCTGGCAAACACTATCTTTTGCCTCTCTTTTGTATCCCCAGTGCTTAGTGCAGGGGCCCACACATAGTAAGTGCTTCATAAATATTTATTAACTGACTTATAGTTAGCCTTTATACGCTCATCTGTCTGTCAAGTGATTGCCTACCAGAAGACTTGAATCTGCACCTTAGGTCATCTTCCCAGGGGAAGTTCCTTACTGCCTCCCAGCATCATAGGATCATAGATTTAGAGCTGGAAGGGACCTTAGAGGTTATCAGGTCCAACTTTCTCAATTTTCAGTTGAGGAATCTGAGTCATCGAGTAGTTGAGTGACTTTCCCAGAGCCACACAGCTAACAAATATCCGAGGCAGGATTTTAACCCAAGCCCTTCTCATTTCAAGTCCAGCCCTCTACCCCCTACCCCTTGCCGCCTCCCTCGCACAATCTGCCATGCTATTTTCTCCATGTTTATTGTTTAACAGGCCATAGCCTCACACAACTCCTGGCCTACTACACCAGTACTATTTCTGCCATGCAAAGCTTTAGGACTCCAAGCAGAAAAAAAGACCATTTGGATTCTAATCCCCTTTGAGTTGTTGGACCACTTCCTCTTCTTCTTGTAAAGATCTTGCCGGATCTTTTTTTACCATCACCCTAAAGCTTTGGAAGTATAGCCTAAACAGTTTCTCTCCTGCTACCACCTCTCTTGGCTTATCCTGGCCCCAACACTACCTTCTTTTCCCCTTAGTGCATCAACAAATCCAGGCTGAGCTTTGGAAAAAAGTATTTTACTATTACTTAAGAGAAATAAGCTAAACTTTTTTTTTTGAAAATAAATGCATACCGAATAAAGAATTATTGAGCTTCAGATAGGAAGCTATACCTTACATGAATACTGGAAATGATTTATTATGTCATTGGTGTAGGTGTTGCTTCTGACAACAGAAATAACAAATATCTCCATATCTTCATAGGTGGTTTTATGAACTGCTCTGAGTAAAAAGATTCACCATCTAGTGGTTAATTTTCTGGTGATAAGTCTCTCCAAACCAAGCTAGATTGGCTCTTGGACCTGTACTTGCAGCCTTTCCAGGCTGGTAGGACTCGCCAGGGTTCATGTACTTCGTTAGTACACCCTCCGAGAACCCATAATCATAGGTTTAAAGCTGGAAGGGAACTTAGAGGCCATCTAGTTAAGCCCTCTCATTTTGCACAGAAAGAACCTAAGGCCCAGAAAAGTTGGGTTACTTGCTCGAAGTCACATAGTTCATAAGTGGCAGAGCCAAGAACTTAAACCTAGGTCCTCTGACTTCAAGTCCAGAACTCTTTCAACTATGATTGAAGTTGGACCTCAGGACAGTTAGAAGGCATAGTGGATGGAGTGCTGAGCCTGGAGTCCAGAAAACCTGAGTTCAAATCCAGCCTCAGACACTTACCAGCTGTGCAACGCTGGGCAAGATACTTAACCCTGTTTGCCTCAGTTTCCTCATCTGTAAAATGAGCTAAAGAAGGAAATGGCAAACTATTCCAGTAGCTTTGCCAAGAAAACCCTGAGTGTGGTTGCAAAGAGTTGGGCATGACTGAAATGACTGAACAACAACAACAATGAGGACTTCACAGGACAGGTATCCCTAATCTGGCCAGTAATGGTCAGGATAAATCGATCCTTCTCCCATCTAAACTAACATCTGGCTTGGTCACCAACTGACCCACCACTACACTCATCTCAGGAGAAAACTCTGTGGATGTACCTTCCCCAGATATGCCTAGACCCATCTCCCAAAACTCTCTCCTCATGCCAAGCTGATGGGCTCCTGACCCCTCTCAACCCCTACTACTAACTTCCAACTTTCCAAGCCCGGGTTTGGGAGCAGGGCATCAATCTGCCACATATGCAAAGTTCTACCCAGATTGATTTCAGTATAGCTCATATTTCTTTCCCCAGGGAAATATTCACAGGTTTACAGTACCACCCCCACAGTAATTTAATTCCCACCTCAGCAAAGGAAAGGGCATTTCTTTACAGTGCTTCAATAAAGGTGGGGTTGTTTTTTTTGTTGTTGTTGTTCAATTGTTAATCGAATTATTTATACGTTCTTTGGTATATTTCTTCTGTTTGTGTGTTGTATGTGTATGGATTTATGTGTATGGATTTATGTGTGTGTGTGTATTACTCTTGTCTCCTTCTAATTTTAAGATCCTGAAAGGCAGAGGCTCTATTCCTCCTATTTCTTTGGTGTTTCCTTCCAGAAACTACTATAGCATTCAAAATTGTAGGTATTCTGTACTTAAACATGGACTGACAAGACCACTGGACTTGGAGTCATAGGACCTAGGTGCAATTCCACACTCTGTTATTAACTACCTCAGTGACCTTAGGCAAAGCACTTAACCTCTCTGGAACTCAGTCTCCTCATCTGTAAAATGTATAGGCAAGCACTAAATGTTCTCTAAGATCCTGTCTAGCTCTAAATCCTATAGTCTCATGTTCCTAATTGATGACTATATTATTCTTTGTGTCCCGAGCTGCTACCTCCTTTCTGCCTCAGTTCTATGGCATCTAATACATTCATACTCCATAACCTATGTCTAGTTAGGCTCCAACTAGATATGGCTCATTTCTCTGAACTCTTGAGCAATCTGAACTGTATGAAAGTCTCCCGATGAAAACCTCATGTTGAATGTACGTTCCTGACGCTTTAGGCAGCCAGGTAATGCAGTGGATAAAGTGTTGGGCCAGGACCTAGGAAGACCTAAATTCAAATCTAACCTCAGACATTTTCTAGCTGTGTGACCCTGGGCAAGTAACTTAACCTCTATCCGCTTCCGTTTCCTCACCTGTGAAATGGGGATGATAACGATAGCACTTATCTCACAGGTTTGTTTCGAGGATCAAATGAGATAATAATTGTAAAGTGCTTACTTAGCACAGTGCCCAGCACTGTGTAAATGTTAGCTATTACTATTGCATAAGGCTCTAAAGCCTGGGTTTTAAAAGTATAGGGGGCTGAGGTGACAACTTCAGCAACAAATACCAGGCTGAGCTCCTTTTTCTTTCCTTCTCCTCCCCACCCTCACCTTAGGTGTGTCTAACCTTGACAGCCAAGCGAATGGCCCGGAAGAATTGTCTAGTAAAGAACCTTGAGGCTGTTGAGACCCTGGGCTCCACCTCCACCATCTGCTCAGACAAGACAGGCACCCTCACCCAGAACCGGATGACTGTGGCCCACATGTGGTTTGACAAGAATATATTTGAGGCTGACACTTCTGAGGACCAGTCTGGTGACTGGGAGCATTTTTAGGGAAAGGGGAAGGAAGAAGAGTGGAGTGTTTTGAAAGGGAGGGAATGGTAGGATTGGGAAAAGAGAAGATACCTAAAAAATTGGGGCTTAAGAGGAAGCATTTAAATGAGAAACAGGGGATGAAAGTATTTCTCAAATGGACCCCCTTGCAGCACGTACTCACAAATTCCTCTTTTTATCAGGGCACAATTTTGACAAGAACTCTAAAACCTGGCCTGTCATGGCTCTAATTGCCGGTCTCTGTAACCGAGCTGAATTTGGACCAGATCAAGAGAAAGTCCCTATCGCTAAGGTACCAGGTCCACAGTGAGAGAAGCTATCTCCAAAGCCCTATCCTCCCAGCCTTCAGTCACTTCCCTTGTTTTCCAGCATGTGTGTCCCCTCCCCAATTCATCCATCACCTTGTTTCCATGGGTAGGCCCTGTACCTCCCAGTGACACTCGGGGATCCTGGTGCCCCAAATCTCTGCTCCTCGGGGTGACTCTAGCCCCTTCCTGGCAGAGAATGACAACAGGTGATGCTTCTGAATCAGCTCTCCTCAAGTTCATTGAACAATCTTACGGCTCAGTGAGTGAAATGAGGGAAAAGTACGCCAAGGTGGCAGAGATCCCCTTCAACTCCACCAACAAGTACCAGGTATGGAGCCAAGGAAAATTATGCAAGTAGAATAAGATCAAGGGAAAGGGAGGCCAGACAGACAAAACTTGAGAGACAAGGATTAGGCTCTGGTGACATAAATGATTATCAAGCAATACTTATAAAGCAGTACCAGGTCAAGGAAGGTCAAGGTTGTTACCTTCATTGTTATCTTCTCTCAAAAACAGAGAAGAATGAGAAGTGATGAAAATGGCCCGGAGTTTAGTAGAAAGTAATCTTCTTGACAGCAAGGACTGTTTCAGTTTTATATCTCATCTTTCACAGTCCCCTGCATGAAGTAGGTGTTTAATACATGTCTGTTGACTTGAAAACTCTAATATTCTGAATTCTGGGAATTGCACTAAACATAAAAAAGCAGCAGCATGGTGCAGTGAAAAGCACCTTGCACATGGAGTCAGAGAACTTGGGTTTGAATCGTAGCTCCATTACTAACATACTTGATAGTGAAGAATTCCACAAGTCCAAGGAGAACCTCAGAGACAAGGATATCCTAGCCACGAGGACTATGAGTACCTGGAAGAAATGAATAAGAAATGTAATGTTAATGGAAACTACAAGTGGGGAGGAACGAATGACAAGGAGAATTAATAGCTTAGAACAAATAGCAGTAAACCATATGTAAGAATTCAATACTCTGAAAATGAGAATGGACCAAACAGAAAGCAATGATTCTATGAGACAATAAGAAAATATTAAAACAAAATCAAAAGATTGACATTTGATCAATTGAAAATGACTATACAATGATGAAGTAATTATATTTTAACAGGTCGTTGAGTTGAATATGTAGTTTGTTTTTTTATGGATTATCTTTTTTTACTCTAAATTTAATCATTTTTCCCCCAATTACATGTAAAAACAATTTTTAACATTTGTCTTTTAAAATTTTTGAGTTTCAAATTCTCTCCCTCCTTCCCTCCCTCCTTCTCCCCACTTAGAAGGCAAGTAATTTGATATTGGTTATAGATGGACATGTAGATTTTTATAAAAAAAAAAACTAGAACAACAAATTTTTAAGTCAACTAAACATCAAAGTAGAAAGTCTGAAAATCAAAAAAGAAATAACAAAATTGGAAGTTTAAAAACTTAAATAAATAAATAATTACATGATTTTAAATAATGATAAAATAGATAACCAGTTAGCTGGTATGACCTTTTTTAAATAGAAGAAAGCCAAATTGTACCAAAAATGAGAAAGGAGAATTCACAGTAACTTAAGATGAAATAAAGGAAATTATCCAATTATAAATTGTCCAATTATAGGCCAACAAAACTGATAATTTAAATGAAATGAATTAATATTTTTAAAAATATAAAATATACAAATTAAGAGAACTAGATCATGTAAATAATCCAACATCAGAAAAAGAAATTAAATAAACCATACCTGAACTACCAAAGGAATTAAAACAAAACAAGCAAACAAAAACAACCCAGGACCATATAGATTCACAAATGAATCCTCAAATATGCAAAAAAAAAAATATTTGGTAATATTACTCCAATATTTACTCCAATTGTTTAAAAAAATAAGAAAAGAAGAGATCCTTCTATACCCTTGATACAAAGCAAGTTGGTGACAGATATAGGTAGATATAGAATTCTGGATTTGGCGTCAAGAAAACCTGAGTTCAAATCTTGCCTCAAGTACTCAGTAGCTCTGTGATCCTGGGCAAGTCACTGAACCACTGAGCCTCAGTTACATCTGTAAAATGGGAATAATGATAGCACCTACTTCACAAAGTGATTGGTAAGATCAAATAAGATAATTTTGAAAACCTCTTAAAGCATATTAGTGCTAGCTATTACTATTATTGTTTTACAAATATGATCTTGATATTTAAAACAGAGAAATAGGGCAGATAAAGAAAACAATAGACCAATATCCCTAATGAACATTGACGCAAAAATATTAAATAAAATATTAGCAAAGCAACTACAACAACATATCAAAAGCTTATCAGGGGCAACTAAGTGGTATAGTGGATAGAGTAACAGCCCTGGAGACAGGAGGACCTGAGTTCAAATCCAGCCTCAGACACATAACACTCAGAAGCTGTGTGACTCTGGGCAAGTCACTTAACTCCAATTGCCTCACCAAAAAAAAAAAAAAAGATTTATCTACTATGGTTGGATTTATACTAAAATAAAGAGTTGGTTCAAGAAAAGGAAAACCATAAGCATAATAAATCATATTCATAACAAAAATCATTAAAAACCACATGATTTTATCAATAAATAATAAAAAGGCTTTTTACAAAATCCAACATCCATTTTTTGTAAAACAAACAAACACTAGAAAGCATGGAAACAAATGGACCTTCTTTAATATAGTAATTATCCACCTAAAACTAAGAGTCAACAACTTATATAACAGAGAAAGGCTAGGACCTTTTTCAACGAGACCAGGAGTTAAGCAAGGATATTCATTATCATCATTGTTATTTAATGTGAGAAATGTTAGCTATATAAAAAGACAAGAAAATCAAGGGAATAAACATAGGAAAAGAGGAAACAAAATTACTATTTTTTAAAGATGATATGATGGATCCATAGAACCAAAAAAAGTAAATTAAAAATTAATTGAACAATGAATAATCTTGAAAAATTGCAGGATATGAAATAAATTCCACTTAAATCATTGGCATTTTGTATATTACCAACAAACTCAGGAAGAAGAGAAAGAAAAGGAAATTACATTCAAAATAACAACAGAACGTGTAAAATGTTTTGGGGTCTATCTATCAAGACACATGCAAGAACTGTAAGAATGCAATTAAAAATTGTCTCTAGAGAAATAAAGACAGGCCTAAATAAGTGGGAAAATATCAATTGCTCCTGGGTAGGCCATGTCAACATAAAAACAACAATGCTACCTAAATCAATTTTTTCAGTGCTATACCAATCAAACTAACAAAGGATTACTTTGAGAGCTAGAAAAAATAGAAAGAAATTGATCTGGAATAACAAAAGGTCAAGAATCTCAAAGGAAATAATTTTTAATAGAAAGGAGGCCTGGATCTCAAATTATACTACAAAGCTGTAATGATGAAAATAATTTGATACTGGCTATAAAATAGTGAAGTCAATTACTGGAACAGAGTAGGTGTCAGATACTATGCAGAAAGGGCACCTAGGGGGCACAGTGGCTAAAGCTCCGGGCTAGAATCAGGAAGACTCCTCTTTCTGAGTTCAAATCTGGCCTCAGACACTTTCTAGCTGTGTGGCCCTGGGTAAGTCACTTAACTCTGTTTGCCTCAGTTTCCTCATCTGCAAAATGAGCTGGAGAAGTCAAGGAGAAGGAAATGGCAAGCCATTATCTTTGCCAAGAAAATCCCAAATAGAATCATGAAAAGTCAAAACTAAAAAAATGACTCAACAACTATACAGAAGCAAATGAACATAGTTACAGTGTTTAACAAACTCATAGACCCTAACTACTGGTGTAAGGATTCAGCATGTTACAAAAACTACTAGGAAAACCTGTAATCATCCTGACAGAAGTTAGGCATAAACTGACATCTCATACCATATGCCAAGATAAATTCCAAATGGATTCATGATTTAGACATAAAATAACACATGATAAACATTTTAAACATGTGATAAACATGATAAACAATTTAAAAGAAGGAAGAAATTACCTTCCACAACTATGAAGAGGAAGAATTCATGATAAAATGGACAGTTTTGTTTATATAAAACTAAAATGTTTTGCCCCAACAAAACCAATGTGCTTAAAATTAGGAAGAAAACAGATGAATGAGGGGAAAAATCTCTTCAGCACATCTCAGTTAAAGGACTCATCTCCAAGATATGTAAGGAACCGACTCAAATTTATAAGAATAAATGTCACTCCCTAATAAATAAGTGGTCAAAGGACATGAATGGGCAGTTTTCAGTGGAAGGCCCAGTGTTCTATCCAGAGTCACCCACCGGCCAGACTCTGCTTTACTTATCTTTGAATAATAATAGCTTACATTTCTATAGAGCTAATAAGATTACAAAGCACTTTTCTCTTTGCCATGTAAAGTGGATAGTACAGGAATTTATCCTATTTTTGTTGTTGTTCAGTTGTTTTTCTGGTCGTGTCCAGCTCTTTGTGACCCCATTTGGGGTTTTCTTGCCAAAGATACAGGAGTGGTTGGCCATTTCCTTCTCCAGATCATTTTATAGATGAGGAAACTGAGGCAAGCAGGGTTAAGTGACTTGCCCAGGGTCACACAGCTAGTGAGTATCTGAGGCCAAATTTGAACTCAGGAAGACATCTTCCTGACCCCAGGTGGGGCACTCTATCCACCATGCCACCCAACTCTACCCTATATCCCTATTTTACAAATAGGAAAATTGAGACTCGAAGGCTGGCCCAGGGTTACAGAGCATTATGCACCAAAGCCAGAAGGCAAACCCAGATCTGTTGGCTACAGGCCCAGCATTCTTTCCCATATACCTTGCTGCCTATCTCTTCTTTCCTCCTCCCAAGAGAGTAAGCTCAATTAACAAATTACTGCACACCAAGTAGATTAAAAAAACCCATAGTCATGTTGATATGAATTGAATTCAAAGAGATGAGCACCTACTTTGTGGTGTAGTATGAAAAGTGCGTATTTGGAGTCAGAGGACCCGTATTTGAATGCCAGAATTCAGGGGACCATGGTCAAACCATTATTCTTTCCTGAGCTTCAGTTTCCTCATCTATCTATCATTGACCTTTAAGGTCTCTTTCTGTTGTCAAGACTGAGTATTGGCTGAGCCTTGAGTAGAATTTGGGAGGATGGAGTAGGAACCCCATTTGAGCGAAAAAGAAGAGACAAGGGCTGTTTCTCCTCTCTCTCTAGGTATCGGTCCACATTCGGGATGAGAGCTCCATGAAATATATGCTGGTGATGAAAGGGGCTCCAGAACGGATCCTAGAGCGTTGCTCCACTATCCTAATAAATGGAAGAGATTATCCATTGGACAAGGAGTCTCAAAATGCCTTCCATGATGCCTACCTGGAACTGGGAGGGCTAGGGGAACGTGTGCTGGGTGAGGGAAGCTGGAGAAAGTAGACTAGAAAAGGGGAAAAGATCTGGAGGAGTGGGGCCCTGAGAATGGTGGGGAAGACCCTAAGGGCTAAGGAAGAACACTGGTCACAGGGGATTGGAAAAAGTTATAGGATGCTAAGGTATGGGGATATAGAAGAGGGGGTATCTGAATTACCTTTGCTCCTTCCTTTTTTCTCCTCCAGGATTCTGCTATTTGGACCTCCCTGAGCCATACACTGGGGACTTTCATTTTGATTCAGACAATATCAACTTCCCTATAACAGAACTCTGTTTTGTGGGGCTCGTATCCATGATTGACCCACCCCGAGCTGCTGTACCTGATGCTGTAGGCAAGTGCCGCAGTGCAGGCATCAAGGTAGGATACCTGAGCTTTGAGCTTCCTTGCTGCCATCACCAACCATCCTAGGGATTTTCCCAGTGATTTGTTCCTCTATAGGCATGCCCTTATCAGGCAAGCAAGCTTCCTGTAGTTAAGACCCTATTCTGTTCTTGGACAAAGACCTGGAGAGACTGAGATAACCCCCCATCCTCAAAAAAACTCCCTCTCATGGTAGGAGTGAGAGACAGGACATGCTCATTGAAGTGAAAATATAAAACATACCAACATACCAAAAACACACCAAAACATAAAAAAAAATACCAAGACACTCAGATGTCTGGTATCCACCAACAGTGTCTCCAGCTCAACCCATCATCACCTATAATCCTTGGTAACTCTGGTAGGAGAATAATAGAATCATGAAAATCATAGAATTGTAGAGTTGGAAGGGTCTTTAAAGGTTGTCCAGACCAACCCCTAAACAAATCATGAATCCAGGTTATAGAAGCCTCAAAAAGTAGTTATCCTACCTCTGCTTAAAGACCTCTAGGGATGGGAAATGTCTCCATGACATCTTAATCATATCCTGTCTTTCTTATATCTTCAACATCTTTCTTTTTTGCTAGCTCTTTGCTACCTATCAACAAAGCCAGGTCTCTCTTACCCTAAAAAATGAAAAATAAACTTCCTTGGATCCTGCCACCTCCTAAATCTTCTCTCTCCTCTTCTTCCTTTCCAGGCTCCTAAAGTGAGTAGTGTACATTCCTTTTCTTCACTTCACTATGCACTCTCAACTCTTTGCAATGAGATTCCATCTCTACTAATCTACCAAAAGTGTTCTCTCCTGAGCTGCTAACAATTAAGTCCGAATAACCGTATCCTATGGCCTTTTTTAGTCCTCATCCTCTTTCATTATATGGTAGGAAAATCCAAATTTGGATAACTCCAAATGATAGAGGGTTCAAATCCAGCCTCTAGCATTTACTAACTGAGTGACCATGGGCAAGTCATTTAACTTATCTGAGCTTCAGTTGTCTCATTTTTCAAGTGGTAATAATAATACCTTGGTACCAACCACAGTGCTTGAGGCTCAGGTGAGTTGTGAAGCATTTTGTCAACCTTGTTTCAGTCATATCTGACTCTTCATGACCCCATTTGGGGTTTTCTTGGCTAAGATCCTGGAGTGGTTTGCCATTTCCTTCTCCAGTTCATTCTACATATAAGGAAACTGAGGCAAACAGGATTAAATGACTTGCCCAGGGTCACAGAATTAGTGAGTGTCTGAGACCGAATTTGAACTCAAGTCTTCCCGACTCCAGGCCCAGTGCTCTATCCGCTGCACCACCCAGCTGCTTGTCAACCTTAAAGTTGAATAAAATATCAATGAATTTTTATTGACCTCTGTAGCATTAGATACAACCGACCATTTTCTCCTTCTTAATACCCTTCTTCCACTGACATCCTCTCCAATTAATCCATAAATCAACCAACCAACACAAGTTCAGAAGGCTCAACCACAGGTCAGGCACAAATAATTGCCTATTAAAACATTGGGACTCAGATTCTTACAATCTAGCCAATAGGTCACTAATGTTCAGACCCCTTAAGAGTCTGCCCAATATGACTGATGTTCTAATAAACCTTGTCTTTGGCTGAAAGAAAAAAAAAACATTTGGGATAGTGATGTCTGGGGATTTGCACAGCTCATGTTTCCTTTGTGCTCCTGTGATTCTGCTTTGCTCATGGAATGCAGCACCTTCTTTGATGCTGGCGTGCCAGGCTGGGTGGTCCTCTATGTCAACTTCTCCCAGGTCTCACAATCGATACTAAAGTTCTTCAGAGAGACCTTGAGAGTGTCCTTGCACTGCTTCTTCTGACCTCCATGTGAGCGCTTGTCTTGTGTGAGTTCTCTGTAAAATAGTCTTTTAGATAAGTGCGTACTTGGCATCTGGGCTCCGTGGACTGATCAGCCATAGCCAAACATACTGTACCCTGATCCCAACATTGTGATGTCATTAGTCCTCTTTGGAAATGAAGGACAGAAAACAAATCAACCAATAAGCATTTACTATATAAAGCACCTTCTTTGTTCTGGGAACTAGGGATGCAAAGACAAAAAATAAAACAATCCTTCCTCTCAATTAACTTCCATTCCATCACCAGAGACATGCACAAATATAGGCAAAATAAACACAGAGAAAATCTGAAATAGTTAAATAAAAGGTAATTGGAGAGGAGCCACTAACAGTTATGGGGATCAGGAAATATTTCTTTCTTATGTAAGGTGGTGCTTGAACTGGGTTTTTAGGGAAGTGTGGGACTCTGTGAGGCAGTGGTGCACAGGAGGGAGAGCATTCCAAGTAGGAGAGAAAACCAGAGCAGAGGGATGGTAAGTGTTGTTTGTAAGGATCAGAGATGTCAGTTTGGCTAGAATCAGGTGGGGAACCTGTGGCCTCGAGGCCACAGGTGTCTTTCTAGGTCCTCGGTGTGGCCTTTTGACTGAATCCAAATCTTACAGAACAAATCTTTTATTAATGGGCTCTGTTCTATGAAGTTTGGATTCAGTCAAAGGGCTGCACGTGAGGACCCAGAGGGCCACAGGTTCCCCACCCCTAGTAAATCATAGAGTGTGTAAAGGGTCGTCATGTATAATGAGACCAGAAAAGTAGGTTAGGGTCAAGTTGGGAAGGTCTTTAAAAGTCAAAGAGAGGAGTTTACCTTTTATCCTAGAGGAGTAACGTATGGTCAGATTTGATCAGAAGAAAAATCATTTTGATATCTATGTGGAGGACGGATTAGAGTGGGGAGAGGTTCCAATTAGGAGGCTTCTGCTATAGTCTAGGTCAGAAATGATGACAGCCTGAACTAACAAGGTGATTGTATGAGTAGAAAGAAGGGGCTGGAATTGAGAGGTGTCTGGAGGTAGAAATGGCAAGATTTGGCAACTAATTGGAAATGCAAGATAAGGTGAAGAGAAAAGAACGACCATGAGATCGTAAACCTGGATGACTTGAAAGTGATTCCCTCAACAAGTATAAGGAATTTTCAAAAAGGGATAGGTTGGGGAAAAAGAATGAGTTCTGTTTTGGACATGTTGTATTTTATGTGGCTCTGGGACATCCATTTTGAAATGCCCAATAAACAGTTGTCAGTGTGGTAGTGGTGCTCAAGAGAGAGACTGTAGAGACCAGATATATGGCTCTGTAAGTTTTCTGTCTAGTGTGATAATTAAACCCATGAGAACTGAGTCACCAAGGGAAAGAACAGAGAGAGAGAGAGAGTTAAGAGGAGAAGGCAGGGACCTAGCTTTAAAGGATACCCAGGTAGAAAAAAAGTGAAATGAATCATGAACCAGCAAAGGAGACGGAAGGTTGCAAGTGGGAGAACCAAGAGAGTAACCCAGTGAAAATCCAGGAGGAGAAGGTGGTCAACGGTGTGAAATGCTGTAGAGGAAGTCAAGAGGGCTAAACACAGGAAAAAAGCCATTAGATCTGGCAATTAAGAGATCCCTGGCAACTTGAGAGAGAACAGTGAGTTGATGAGGTCAGGCTCAGACTGCAAAGGAGTGAATGAGAGGAGAAATAAAGGCGATGAGTATGGACAGCTTTTTCTAGGACTTTAACTAAGAAAGGGAGAAGAAACATAGGACAATAGTTTGAGGGGTGGTGGAGTCTAAGAAGGAACCAATAGAAAGAGAAATTGAAGATTACGGGGAGGATAATTGAAGGGTCAATCTGCTAGAAAAGATGTGAGGAAACTGGACCAACGGCATATATAGAGGGGTTAGCCTTGGCGTGGAAAAGGGCCACCTGATTATTAGAAAATGGAGGAAATGAGGCATGGGAGATGATGTCAAAAGGTTTTGAGGTAAAGAAAAGGAGGAAAGTTAGAATATGTGGCAAATAGCCTCAATCTTCTCAAAGCAAGAGGCAAGGTCCTGGGTTGTACATAAAGTGGGGAGATGGGGGAGGGTGTGAGATATTTGAGGATAAAAGAAAAAGTTTTGGCCCCCCCTCCCAAAGGAGTGGGATTTCCTTGCTGCCATGAGGGTCCAGGCAAGGTTAGATAATGTAAGTCTGTAGTGTTTCTAGCCAGCTCAACTGAGTGACTTCCTCCAGCTATATTCAACTTAAAGCGATGCTGCATTCATGATTTTCCTCCTGACTCTCTGTCCCCTCCTTCTCCATACCCACTATCTCTTCTCATTCTACCAGCATCCCTTAAACATGGGCATTCCCCAAAGCCTTTTTCTCTGCTCTCTTAACATTCTCTCCCTTAGGCATAGCAGTCACTCCCATGTCATCAGTGATTACCTTCACACAAGCAGCAGAGCTGCCAAGTAAATATTGCCAACTGTGAGCTCTCTAGAGTTGAGCTTCAGTCCTATGTTTTGAACTGTCAACTGGGCATATTTGGATGTTCCGTCAACCCTTCAAACTCAACCAGTTTCAAAGTAAACAAATTTCTTCAAAAGAACCTTCCCCTTCCCCCATTTTTTCTACCTTGGTTCTCCAATTTACCCAGTCCAGAAAACACCTTCATCTTCAACACTTTTTGCTTAAAACCCCCACATCTCATCAGCTTTCAAACCCTCTCTCACTGCACCTGCCTCTTTTCAGACCTTCATCACTCATCACTAGGGTTATTGGTTCCTAGATACTTTCTTTTTCCCTAGACTCTTCTCATTAGAATCTTTCCTTCAGAACACACCCTGAGTAATCCAAGACTTAAAGGATTAGAAGGTAGTTCCCTGGTCATCTAGTCCATCTCTTTCCAAAGCATGAATCCTATACCTATCCAGCCTCTGCCTAAGACAGCTAGTAATGGGAAACTAGCAGCCCCCTGAGGTTGTCGATTCCATTTTCAAAGAACCCTAACTTTAGGAAAATTTTATTTGATGTTGAGCTGAAATCTATTTCCCAATAACTTCCACTCATTGTTCCTAATTCTTCCCTCTGAAACATAACAATTCTAATTCCTTCCACACATGGAAAAACAATTCTATTCTCTGCATTTGGAGCACAAATCTGCCAGAA